GGGCGTGGTTTTGTATGCGGTGCCAAGGAGCTAGAGTGGGGATTAGTCAGCGCTGCGCACAGAGGATTGCAGTTTTGGATGGGAAAAGTTCGGCGGTGGGGCGCAAGGCGGGAGAGGTTGGTAGAGTGGGTGGTTGGCCGTGCGAGGTGAAAATTCGAGATGGGAGCGCGGATATCAGGCTGCAACGGGATAGCTTGTGTTCAAAGTGAAGGTCGAGACCTCAGTGACGCCATTCAGGTTCATCGCATGCGCAGGTTCAGGGTGGAGGTTAAGGCGCAATCATCGTATGGTTTCACGGCAAAGGCAATAGTTATGGGTTCATGCATGCATTCAAGCTAGCTAGACCCAATGTTCGTTCCATCGAGATTCCGTGAGATCGTGATTCATGACAAGCCATCTTTCGACAGCTCACCACGACATGACCCAGCAGACGTAGCGACCAACTCTCTAGTAGAGACGCTTGGGGGGGCTCATGGTAGCCTTGATGGTCAAGGAGCCCACGTTCTGCCATCCCTTCTTAAGAAGCGAGACGAGGTAGTTGATGGCCAACATGATGTTACCGATCAGCTCGTCCTCAGTCATGCCAACGTTGCCGATAGCGACACCCATGCACAGAACCTTCTTCAACTGGAACTTGATGGTGGACTTGACTTCGTTCATCTTGTTGGCGAGGTCCTCAGCGTGCGAGACGGGTGTGGGGAACTTTCCGGCCTTGGAGAGACCGGGTCCGAGGAGACGGGGAATCTGCTTGATGAGGGCGTCGGAGGCAACGAAGGCGTCGTACTTCTTCGCAAGCTTCTTGATGAGCTTCTTGTTCTTGTTGAGCTTCTTCAAGTCCTGTGGAATTGTTAGACATGTCTAAGCGAAAGACTTCAGAGGATGCTTACATCAGTGCTCATGGCATCGACACCATGGTGCTTGGCACGGTCAATGTCGTGCTGGTCACCGAGAACGCAGATGCTCATGCCTGAACTTGTTAGCATGCGCTTTTTCGTCTGCGCACCAGTATCGACTTACGAGGACGAGGAAGGGTGGGAAGCTTGATGGTTCCGGAGAAACGCTTGTCACGCTGGGGGTCGTAGTTCTTGAGGCCGATCTGGAGCTCGACGGTCTCGAGGAAGTTCCTCTTCTTGGTCTCGTTGGAGTACTCAAGGAGCTGTTGAACGTTCGTACGAACGCCGGCGACAGAGATTTTCGACATGTTGGCTGATGTGTCTCCCAGAGGATATCGGTTCCTTTGGTGGCTCTGTAGCGGTGGTGGTTGAAGAAGAGAGAAAAGTGGCGGCGGATTTGTCGCTTGACTGTGGCCGTTTCGCCGCTAGCGAAGTCCGCGCTAGTCCGCTTTGGCCCGACTGATGGCAGTCACTTTCCAACGTCGACATAGAAAATAACATTTCGCCTATGCTCGTGTTCTCTGCTATGGATATCGCCGTCAAACTGTGCCTTAAAGGGATACGTCGCATGTCATTCCACACATACCCCAGACGGGTTGCATTGAAAACCTTCATGTCACTTTTGGCAATTACAAAGATTACATCACGACTAGCTTGCACGAATGTCGATGAAACATGCTTCTGCATTGCTCGCATGCATGGAAGAAATAAAAAATGATACTATACACTTGACTTTTCCTCCTAGAATCCGTGCATTGATGAGTGCACTACGCCATGCAATGCCCGAAAACTCCTCGCCATAACCATGAGAGTAAGAAGAACAAAGTCGATAAACACAAGTTAAATGAAGTAGCATGTGCCCAAGCACAGTATTGCTACGGGGTATCCCGTGTGAGAAACCCTAACGCCGTATCCGCCGCACCATTTTCGTAAGCCCAATCCGATCGCAACTGAGGGGTATGTCGTCTACGCGTACTGCCGCGCCAAATGAAGCAAAAGCCGAAGCTAGAAATATACAAAAGGCGAAGGAGAGGTATTCAAGATCATCGAAGATACCTGTGCCAGATGTGCCAGATGTGCAGAGGAGGTGTTTTGTGCTCCCCATTGCATGTCTCCTAGTGCATGAGCTGCTGGTTGTTGGCGGCATCGACGACGTTGTCGGAGAGGTTGATCAAGAGTTGAGCAAGACAGCGCTTAGTGGCTGCGTCGTCTCGAAGAACAGAGGAGAAGGTGGCGTCGCGGAGAGGCTCTGGTAAGCACTGGCGAAGCGCCTCGCGAGCGCGAGCGTTATCGCTCAAGCTGGCAAAGTTAGTTACAAGTACAAAAGACGGACATGGAGTATGCATACCGAAGGAAACACCTAACAACGTGCTTGAGCAGGCGAACGGTTTGCTGCTCCACAAGTTGGTTGACCATGTTGCTGAGTACGGTGCCGACAGCGTAAAAGCGCTCGTAGGTCTGACAGATGTAGGCAAGACCGATGTCGTCTAGCAGGATCTTCTGAACGATGAAGATGGCCACTGTCTTGCTGAGCTCCGAGCCAGTCTCCATGATACGCAGGCAAAGCGGGATGATCTCAGTTGTGAGGAGGAAGTTGATAACTTCACTAGAGTCGTTCTTCACAAGAGCGCCAATGACACCGAGAGATGTAAGGCGCAGGTATTCGAAAGGCCGCGACTTGGACGTTGTGTTGAGAAACGGGTAGAGGAAGAGCGGGATGTGCGCTATGAGTGCATTAGCTACGTCGCCTCGGTGCGATGTCTGACTTACCGCTCAAGAATAGGCCGCGAGTTTCGGTATGCGAAGCGACACACTGGAGAAGCGCAAGAGCGTTGCAGACACGGTTAGAAGCAGCAGCGGTCAACTGCGACGGGTTGAGCAGAGGGTAGACGGAGATGATCTCTTGGAGGAGCGAGGCCATGACACCTGGAGTCGTTAGTATCCCGTCGCATTTTCGACAACACAATTCGCGTACCGAAAGAGTGCCAGAGGATCAGAGCCAACTCAGGAACTTGTTCTCGCTTCTTGCTCAATTCCAGAAGCGCAGCCTCACGCGTGGCAGGCTTCATGAGCTGGGCTATCCACTCCAAGACGCGCCTGTTCTCCTCCGTCATTCCGATATCGGTGGTCTGGACGTCGTTCGCGGGGCCGCGGGGGACGGCGTTGTTGCCGGGAAGGGTGGTGCCATTGCTGGCGGCGAGTTGTTGGTGGTACTGTCGCTGGGCAGCCGCCTGGACGGCCTGGGCCTGTTGTTGTTGAGCGTGCAGCTGGGCGGCCTGGGCTTGGTGTTGTCCGTGCTGGCCTACATGGTGCTGCGGTTGCTGGTGATGGCCATGGGCTTGAGCTTGAGCGGGCCAGTCGCCGTACTGCTGCTGCTGCTGCTGCTGTTGCGCGAGGAAATGTTGCATTGGCCGCGATTACCGACAGGTTCGTATTGATTGTGTGGTGGAGGTAAGATAAGAAGGTTTGCGCGACTTTATATGGTGAGGCGGCGATTGCTTGCGAGGTCACGCGGTGGGGAAATCGGACGTGGTGAGTCTGGCAGCACTCGAGAGCACTCATGGAGTCGCGAAACACCCCGCTAGCGCCGGGGCCTTCCACGGTTAGTCAGCTATTTTTGGCGTCATGCTTCCTCAGTAAAGCAGCTATCTCTACATACTTTCACCTCATACAAGAAGATGCTGAACAAAAACACGTTATAGCAACTGATCGCCAATGGTCTCACCACTGTCTGAAGATGCGCTCCAACATCTGCGCGATGCACACGGAGTAAGCTCGTGGATAACACGCCGTTTTGTAAACAGCATCCCAGGAATAGCTCAATCCAGCCGAGAACATGTATTCTAGGACCAAACAATACTATGCATCTTGTAAACCCGAACGCGGAGGGTGCAAGAAACTCAATACAGATCGACCCAGCAAGAGCAATAATCTTAGTACGAATCGAGTTGATACGCTTGTACACGTGGATATGATGTCTTTGAGTTTCGCGCAGTCACTAATGCGCTACTCTCTCTATTGCACTTTATTTAAGAAAAAGATCTAAACAACCTAGAGCTAAGATTTACATTAGATTATCTCCTTTGCATATTTTTATCTTGATTGAGGCTGCAAACCTGGTCAGAGTTGTTCTTGTATGGAGTGATTGTGCAAGTGAATCTGGCATCGAGATCTAGAATGAGTTGACAGATCTATGCTTCTGTCAGACATCCGCGGGTCCATGAAAGACGCACGAAAACGGCCTCATCTTATCAGCTCCGTCGTCTACCTGTCAACAAAGTGCTTGCCAAAAAGGAGTCGATGTCTAGTCCGGACCAAGGAACCAGCCCACGCTTGCCTGCGCCCGAACCCATTCCATCACCTCCACCCCCATCGCCGGCGCTGTTGTCCAACAACTGGCGCACAGCAGCCCCTCCAGAATACCCCTCAACAGCACGTCCACGCGCCAACTCATCGGATGGAGAGGGGTTATCCCAAGTCATGAGGGTTCTGATGTCGGAAGAAACCGAGCACGTCAATCTAGGGAAAAAACCGAAGAGGCCTGCAGCCTACATCAGCATGAAAACACGCAAGTTAGGTGACCCAACGTCGATGTAGGCTCAAGACCTGTTCAGCTTTTCTCTTGTATAAGGTGCGAGCTCCACCGTGCCTTCCTTCTAGCATGGCACGCCCGTGTAGTGATAGAACTGCATACAGAAAGCTTCACCACGGTAAATCTGTCTCAGCAGCTATGTGTTGCTAGTATTTGCACCTCATTCACCGCAAGGGTCCCGAGCAGACACACTCCGCAAGAATACTCAGAAAGCGATTCAACATTCCTAAAACGAGATCAAAAACCATCTCGTCTCATCTACTACTCCCCGCTCTCACCCCTACCTCAGAACAACAGAAGAATAAACATATGAAATTCGTGGGTGTCTTCACCCTTAAAACGGTGCTTCCAGCCAAACCAAGCCCTCCCCACACTAAAAGAATTACAATTGCAACATAACAAAAGCCCCTCGTGTAGAAGTGAACCATGCTTACCAATGCCCGCGAAATAATCAAAAGAGAAAAACGCCTAAACCCCTTCTTCTTCTTCTTATCTGTACTCGAACTAATCGTCAATCAAAGTCTTAGCTCCGATAGAATAGTCTGAGCCATATTCTTGTACTGCCATGTGCCCCCATCCACTTTCTTAAACTGGATTCCGTGCAGCGTCAACAGCGGAACCTTGACGATCAAGATTTCAAACACCAGACTCATGCTAGAGCCCATGTCGCTCTGCACCTGCGTCGATGTTTCGCCCGCCGCTAATGCGCGTCGTGGTCGTCGCTCGTCGCGTTCTTCGCTGCCGTCAGACTCATCGGTATTCGTGTAGCTTTGATCCGCAGGCGATGGCCGTGATCGCGATTTCGGTGTCCCGGGTGCTCGGTGGTTGTCTCGGAACTCGTCGCGATCTCTGTCACCACCCATGAAGCCGCCGAAGCTGATCTTTCTCTTGTGTCCTCCGCTCGGTGGGGACGCTGGCGAGTCCATGGGTTTGTTCATGTCGATGCTAGGTGCATGTCGACATCGGAAGCCACCTTTGACTTCGGTCCACTCAACACCCAGCTGGTCGAGCACCCTTATTAGATCATCCTGAATGATGGGAAGGGGCTTGGTGCTTGTCGTTGAGACGCTGAAAAGACCTTTGAGGAACACAGGCTTCACAGCATCTGGACTCCGACTAGCTTCTGCTTGCGCTTCTGCAAGCTCTGCATCTGTCTCTTCGGGTACGTTGGCTTCCTTTGCTGCCTCCCTCTTCATCCTCCTCGCTTGAATGCTTTCTCTTCGCGCATGGCCCAGCGATTTCGCTCGGGAAGCTTGCATGGGCCGCGGGCTCGAAGTGAGATCGTCGGAAGCAGCATCGGTGTTTGGCCGAACTTTGTTCGCGCTCAGCTCGGATCTATCTGTTCTGTCTGATCCACTCGTGGGCGGAGGGTTTCCAGGGTCTTCCGAAGATCGACCGCGTCGACTGAGTCGTCTCCGGAGATCAGCCGAGTTGACGCTGGTGGAGCGACCGAGTGCCTTTAGTTTCCGCGCAGCGCTGTTACCAGTCCCGGGAGGTGAGAGTAGCTCGGGTTGATTGTTGGCGCTGTCTGGGAGATACGAGGCAGAACCTCCTTCGCGACCGCGCGGTCTTCGAATGCTGAAGCTCTTTCTCGGCACGGTGGCTGGCGCTGGGGTCGGTGCGGGTTCGGCGGGACTGGAAATTGCGACTGCTGGAGTTGGCGGAGGCAAGGGCTCAACGGTCCGGTCCTTCTCATGACTCCTGTACTTTCTGGTACTGAAGCGGCGCAACAGACCTACGGCAGCACCCTCTTTCTTCGGTTGCTCAACCTGAGGCGGCAACACCGGGGGCGGGTTATTTAGGTCGACTCGTTTCAGACCTTCGGTGATGTCATCTTCACCGTGGGTCCTTGCCCTTGGTCGCGACCTTCCACCTGTGGGCTTTTCGCCAGCCATCTCGTAGGCAGCTGAGTTGGTGTATGCCGCTGGCGGTGGCGGAAGATCTGGCATTTTCAAGGGTTTTTCGTCCGGCTCCTGGGGCATGGCAACAGGACCTGGGTTGGCTTCCTGCCGTTCACGATCTCTCTTCTCCTTGACCAGGAAGTAGACTGAGAGGAGAGGACTGTATGCGTTGACTGGATCCATTCCCCGCTGAATGTCCTCGGATGACGACGCAGTCAGCTGCTCTCGACTTCCGATTGAAGTGCGTCTTTTGTAAAAGTCGAATATGCCCTTCTTCTTCTCCGCTTCTGGTGTCTGTGCAGTCGCCTTGCGGGCGGCTGTTCGCACAGCGCGTTGATATTCCTCTGACTGAATCACGTTGGTCAGTTGCGTGGTGATGTACTCCGTTGTACCGAAGTCGAATCCCTGCATCTTCTCAATGATCTCGCTGTCCAGAGGTAGTTGCACGGGTTCTCTGTGGGGCAGGTAGTTTTCGGGAGGGCTGTTGAATCCCTTGGTAAGCCAGGGATGGCTCATGATCTCCGAGAGGGTCAGTCGCTGGGTGGGGTCAGTTTGCAGCATTCGGTGGATGAGGTTGCGGCATTCTGGGGGGATATTAGCTCAGTATGGAGTTGTAAGTCGGCGTAACATACCTGCGGACAACCATGGAGGATAATCGACATGACCCTTCTTAATCTTGGCATGGAGCTGTGGCATGCTCTGGTCATCGAACGGCACCTTTCCGCAGACCAACACGTACAGCACAATGCCAAAACTCCAGACGTCGACCTCCGGGCCAGTGTATTGTTTGGCCTGGAGGAGTTCGGGGGCGGCAAAGTACAGACTTCCACAGAATGTCTTGAGCTGGTTCCTAGGCGAGAACAAGTTACTCAGTCCAAAGTCAATAATCTTGATGTCGCCCATCTTGCTGATAAGGATATTCTCAATCTTGAGATCCCGGTGGACAATGCTGTTCCTGTGGCAGTAGTCCAGGGCGCTGGCAATCTGTCGAGCGAACTTGCGCGCCTGCTTTTCCTTGAGGCGGCCATGGGAGATGATGTAGTCGAGCATCTGTCCACCATTGACGAACTCGAACATCATGTACCAGTGGAAGTTTGTGCGCACGACATCCTTCATGCCGCATATGTAGGGATGGTTCAGCAGACTGACAATGGCAGCCTCTCTGGCGGTTCGGACTTCTTTGGAGTGGTCGGCTCGTTCGCGGTCGGCGGCGCTCTGGTGCTGGTCTTGGGATTGTCGCGGGACGATCTTGACGGCGGCCTGTTGTGATTAGTACGTGTTTGAGTGTTCCTCTATCTCAGCTGGATGCGCCATCATGCCCCACGTAAACAACCAGAGTACACACCTGCTCCCCGGTCTCGGCATTCTTGGCCAGCTTGACCTTTCCCATGCTGCCGGCGCCAATGGTCTTTCCGAGGGCCCATGTTCCGGTGCTGGGTGCGGTGATGGTGGTCCTGCGCTTGTTGACGGGCTGAGGCTGGCCCGGCCTGGCTTCGGCAGCTACGCCATTGACGGGCATTGCGGAAGTCGTCGACGCGTCAGACGCATACCGCGTGTGGCTCCGGCGGGTGGCTTCGGTGCGGCCTGGGTCTTCGCTGCGTCGTGAGGGCTGCGGTGAAGGCTGCTCGTGGGCGACGTTGCTCTGCTCGTAGTCTCGGCGGGCGACGTTGGGGAGGCCGCCTGGCTGATGGCGGGCGGGCGCGCGGCTGGCGGTGGGCTGGCTCTGGCTCTGGGAGCGATGGGGGCGGTCGATGGATCTGCGCGACGAAGAAGAGTTGCGCACGACGGCGGGCGATGATGGGGCGGCGGCCGACATAGTGAATGCGCTGCCTCTACCACGGTTACGCGCAACGCAGGGAGCAGATGCGGGCCTCGATTAGCACAGACGCACTGGGCGTGGAGCGAGCGCAGAGCCGCAAGCAGCAAGGCTATCGTGACAATGTGGAGAGATTACTTTGTTGTCCTCGGTGGGTACTGCGGCGTAAGGGTACAAGAGGTTAGGGGCCGGTAGATGGCAGTCGCCAAACTTGGCACCGGCGTGTTGGTAGGCTGGTCTAGATAGGCGTCTGCTGGGACGGATGCAGCACACGGGTTACAGCAGAGAGATGCAGCATCGACGTCGAGAGAAGCATGTACTGCGCCCGCCCGAGTGCATGTGCTGTGTTGTTATGGCTATTTCTGGGCGGAGGTCAAACACGATAGCTCTCTCGCTCCACGCCTAGCTCGTCGCCCAACGCCAGGCCGCTGTCGTGGGGTAGGTTTTCCTTCGGGACAATGCGTCCACCCTGTTTCTGCGGTCCTCCTTGTCTTAACTCAGTCCTGTCAAAGAAATACCTCAGGAGGCACGCTTTTCTCTCTGTCGCTGCCTCAACCTCACAAGATTGCGCTCCAGCTCTACCTATCCATTGATCAGGGTCTCAACGAGCTTAGCCGGACACCAGCCTTGCTTGCTCATTAGGCCGCTCGACCCAGGCGCGGCACTACATCATCGGGCCCACTCTGCCTACTAACTCCTTTGTCTTAGTCCAACGGCAGGCAGTCCAGTCACTTGAGCTGAGCGCTGCGAATTCTACCGACACGTGAAACTCATACCCGTAGACAACTGTGCACTTTATAGTCCCCGTGCGGCTTGTTGAGTTGGCTACCGGACGTGGTCCGACTGCGCTTGGTCGCTGGGTAAGCGTCCCTCAGCCAATAGCATCGCGGCTGATTAGTCACCCATCGGCCGCTTACTCGTGATCCGCTTCAACTTTCCCTCGCTTGGCTGGTGACTGCTGGACTGCGTGACGAACCTGGTCTACGGATTGCGTTAGCCAAATCTGGCTCAAGGAATCTGGTCCCGAAACAATCGCCCACAGCCTGCGCAACTCCACTCCCGACATCTCTCGCAATGGCGTACAAACGGCCGCGCGCGCCTTCCCCGACCAACGCGCAAAAGCGCTCTCGCGGCGGACCGACAACCTACATATCCCTAGGCACCGGGCTTCCCGAAGAAGAGGCCGATGATGGCGCTTTCGTGCCCGTGTGGAAGCAGACCGTGACGGACGAGCGAGGTCGCCGGAGACTCCACGGCGCATTCACAGGAGGTTTCAGTGCAGGGTAAGTTTCCGAGCCATATCTTGACGAACGCAAGACTTCTTGACTATGCTAAGATACTTCAATACAGTTGGATCTAAAGAAGGATGGACCCCGAAAACCTTCGTTTCCTCGCGCGCAAACCGCAACAAAGACCAGCCGAATGGCCCGACCCAGCGAGCCGAAGATTTTATGGACGAGGAGGATCTGGCAGCAGCAGCCGAGTCGCGCCAACTGGAGACTGCGCAGAACTTTGCCGGCATAGGCGAAGCTGGACAAGCGAACGACGATGGATTGTTCGGCCTGTTTGTGACCCAGGAGGAGACAATGGGCGTCAAGATTGCGCAGAAGATGGGCTGGCGGCGAGATCAGGGCATTGGTCGCAAAGTGCGCCGGAATGCTGACCTGGAAGATGGCGCATCCGGTTCCAAGGATGATGCAGCTCATATGTTTGCGCCTCAAGATGCTCGCATTATGACTCTGCCACGAGAAGAGGTCCGTCGCAAAGGCCTGGGATACACGTCGGAAGCCCGCCTGGGTGCTGTGGAAGAAGAGGCCACGGACCGTTCATCCAAGTTCGACCTGCATTATCTTGAAGCTCCGAAGAAGGCATCGACTGTGAAGAAGCCTGCGCTGAAGAAGTCTTCCTTTGGCGTTGGCGTGCTCAACGATACCGGCTCGGATGACGAAGACCCGTACGAATTGGGTCCGAAGATCACGTTCAACAAGACCATAGGCAAGGAGAAGAAGGGGAAGAAGCCCAGTAAATTCGCCAAGCCAGGAGCAGGAGAGAAGCATGTGTTTGTCTCGAAGAAGAGTTCGTCCAAAGCCTTGGTCTCGCTGAGCAGGCCATCTATAGATGGGAGATCTCCGTTGAGTGGCTTCACATTCGCGGCCGGTCTCACCGAACTCACCAGCAAGCCTAAATATCCTCCACCGAAGATACCTCCAGGTTGGAAATCTTCGAAAAGTGCCACTCCGACTTCAGAATCGAAAGACTACCAATCTGTAGCAGACGCAGCGAAAGCGTCAACGTTGGATGCAAAAGGGCGTTCGGCACTCTTGGGGGAGAAAGCTTTGCCCGGAAAGTCCATCTTCGACTTTATACCCAAGGACGCCCGAGATCGGTTGGCTGCGTTATCTGGTAAAGCCGATCTGCCCCAGGGCCTTGGGGAAGCTGCTCCTGAAGGACATCTGCCCGCAAGCAAAGCCCTACCAAAAGATCTGTGGAGTCTCGTGCCTTCTCTCGATAAGAGCGTGGCAGCCGCGGCCCTCGCGAAGGGTGCGACGGGCTGGATGCCTTATGCTGAGGACATACAGAAGCGTGCACGTTACGTTGGCTTCCTAGAGTTGAAAGCAGGACTGAAAGAGGACCTGCCAGAACGAAGGGAGGGCGTATCAGTCTCCGACTGGATCAAAGAGCTACAGGAGTTTGCACATGCTGCAGAAGTCTTCAAACCCACAACTGGCATTATGGCCTCCCGATTCACATCCGCGTCATCCTCAACCTTGAACGGAAACGATGGTGGAGCAGCGAATGCGAACCCTCTACGACAGCCAGCCGCAAAGCCAGAAGATCCCGCAGAGCAGGCGGCGAAGCTAGGCATGTACGGTCCCATGACTCGAAGTAGTTTCCCCTTCTACCCATCGCGACTCCTTTGCAAACGCTTCAACGTCAAGCCCCCGCCAGACATGCCACCGGAGTTTGATGCTGGCGAAAGCCACTTCAGATCGCAGACGGAAGAAGCAGTGTCCAAGTCGGCTATGGAGAAGCTGCAACATGAGTTCTTGACTAACGGTCCTGCGCTCCAGCGGCCGGCTTGGATGGGACAGGCGTCGGAAGCTGCTGTCCCAGTTGCAGCTGTGGCTACAGAACAGAGTGGGCATGCAGCTGTGGACGTGGAGAAGAATGAGGCGCTTTCGAATGATCGGGCGAGTGAGGATGTTTTCAAAGCTATCTTTGGAGACGACGACGATGATGATGAGGACTGATGGAGGACCGAGTACGTGACTGATAGGCTTCTGGAGTCATGTCTGGGATGTATGGAGCGATGTATGACAGGGTTGAGAAGGTGCTACTTCGTAATATTGATTGAGCTTAAGATCAAGATAATGCGACATGATGAATGCGTTTCTGGCCAGTTGTTTTAATTTGGACAACGGATTTTCGGATTACGATGCTAACAATGTCTACGGAGTTCATGAGTTCATCAAGGATGCATCGTTGATAGACGCGGTACCAGACGCAAGCGAAAATATCACCGACTCGCCGAGGCTCGGAACATGTCGTCATGACACTTTTTCGCGTGAGACGGACAGACACGTTGTTACTCTCTCACCCTAATATTTGCGGCCAGTCTTCCAGGGCTGTTACCATGATGCGTATTGCAGCTTCAGATCTCTTAAAATAGGAATTGAATACTTGACGCCTCGGCAATGTCAGATGGCGCCCGCGGAAAGCGCTCGTCGTCCTACTGTAAGTGGAAAGAGCGAGGAGCATAATTGCTATTGCGACAGCTAGCGTTTACCAGTCACTAACAATTGCGCAGTCCACTTCTTCGCCGGCCTAAACTCAGGCATCCTGTCTGCCGTCCTTCTCCAACCCGCCGACCTCCTCAAGACCCGCGTCCAACAATCCCGCTCGAGCACCCTCCTCGGTACCATCCAGTCCATAGCCAGCGGACCGAACCCGATACGTCAGTTCTGGAGGGGCACATTACCAAGTACCCTGCGCACAGGGTTTGGCTCTGCCATATACTTTTCAAGTCTCAACGCGTTACGGCATAGAGCGAGTCTGGTCGCGGCGGGCAGCAGCGATGCAGCAGTCAAAGGCGCGGAGCACTCGAGCTCTCTACCCAAACTGAGCAACACCGCGAATCTGGCAACGGGAGCCTTTGCGCGGACATGGGCGGGCTTCATCATGATGCCGATAACCGTGCTGAAAGTGCGATATGAGAGTAGCTTGTACTCGTACAATTCGCTCTTCACCGCATCTCGAGACATCTTCCGAACAGAAGGACTCAAAGGCTTCTTTGCTGGTTTCGGCGCAACAGCCGTTCGCGATGCACCCTACGCGGGCCTCTACGTCCTCTTCTACGAGCAGTCGAAACGAAAACTTTCTAGTCTCGCAACCAAGATTGAAGAGACGTCCGGCACTGCCACCAAGCTGTCTACCAGCACATCCGCGGGGATAAACTTCATCTCGGGTGTTGCTGCAGCGGGGCTGGGGACAACTATTACGAATCCCTTCGATGCTATCAAGACGCGTATACAGCTTATGCCTCATAAGTACGGCAATATGGTGCAGGCAAGCAAGAAGATGCTTGCGGAGGAGGGCATGCGTAGCATGTTCGATGGACTTGGTATTAGGATCGCGAGGAAGGCAATGAGCAGTGCGCTTGCCTGGACAGTCTACGAAGAGCTGATTCGGCGAGCGGAGAGTCTGAAGGAAGTCGTCGAGGAGAAGATATGATTGCGATTGTACGATACTTGCATGACCGGCGTTGCTGGCGCCGACACTCGACTAGACACCTCTTCGCTCATATGCACAATGGAGTGTTCAAATGGCATAAACGATCTGCATCTTAACGTCTCTCACGGAATACCTATCTCGTCAAAGTTCACACCATCTAATGAAGACCGAAAGCCTGGATTTTCGGACCGACCCTGACTGGAAAGGTGCGGCTGAAGAGCTGTGGCTATCGAAGACGATCTTGGGGCTGCTCTAGCCGAAAACGCGGC